CACAGCTGCTCCTGCCCTGTGGCTTTGGGAGGGGTGAGCACAAGCCTCCTGGGGCATCAAAGTGTCCAGCACTTGGAGGGTGGAGGCAGGAGGATCAAGAGTTCAAGGTCATCCTGAGCTACTTAAGATTCTGTTGGAAGGAAGGAAAGGAGGGAGGGAGGGAGGGAGGGAGAGAGAGCAGGGAGGGGATCTTCAGGGGAGGGGAGGGGAGGTAGGCAAGGTGACTGCAACATGACTGGGAGACTCTGGACTTGCAGGCTCTTAACTGCAACCTGCTCTATCTTCTCATCAAAAGTAGAATTGGTCAGAAACCATCCAGCCCCACTGGCTGGCAGGAGGTACCCACTGTGACTGCCCCAGATCCGGGACAGGACAGACCAGTGGAAAAGTTCTTGCCTGCTATACCTCAGGCCCTTGAGAGAGTCCCACCCCAACCCTGAGGAAGGATGGAAGGCCCAGAGTTTCCAGGCCCTTCCCTACAGGTCCCTCCTTGTTCTCACACTTGACCTTCCCATAGTGAACTGGATGGGACTTTCTCCTGCTACAGCCAATGTTCCCTCTGACTCTCTTTGCTGCAGAGGACTGGCACTTCCTCCTGACAGTATTCCAGGGAGGACACTAGGTGCTGCCAGTTTCCACAGAACCGAGGCTAGATAACTCAGCCCTGTCCGGCAGTGCCCTCTGTCAGCCAGAGGAGAAATGACAATGACCATGTCATGACATGGCTGTGGGCTATGCAGGCGGAGCAACACCAGCACAGGACACACAGACGTGGTACCCATGCATACTCACATCCATATTCACTTACAGAGACCCTACTTCCAGAAAGTGAAAGTGAAGATGGGCTCCAGGCCTGCAGAAGGGAAGCCCTGTCGGGCCCCAACAGGAGCCCCTGGGTGCTCTAGACACATTCCTAGAAGTAGAAGCTGGAGGAGGGGTCTGGCAGCCCTTTGCTGACCATGGAGTCCTAACAAGGCCAGGCTAGTTGTGTGCATAGTACAGGGCTGAGGAGGAGGCAGACCCTGCTGGGTTAGCCTGAGCTGGTTAGGGAAATGGCGGTGGGGGGCGGGAAGGAAGTCAGACTTCTTACCACTCACTCTGGGGACCTTAAGTCCTACTCAGAACTCCTCACACCCACTACTTCTCAGTGCCTAGACCCTTTTCCAAACTCAGCCTGCCCATGGTCACCACAAGGTCCTGACACTCCTGCCAGCCCTCCTCACAAAATCTCCTTACTCTGTTCTAAATGCATGAGAGGATCCCTCCCCACCAGGACTAGGCCCTCCTACCCAGAACTCCTCAGGACAGGAGGAGCTCCACACCCAGGTGTCTGCTTTCAGAGCTGGGAAATGACCTGTGGGAGGCAGGCTGGCATTTTGCTGAATGGATCCATGAAGGCATGAACACATGAGCAAATAAACCAGCAGCCAGCACCACTGGAGCTCAGTCGGCTGCTGCAGGCTTGTCCTCTCACATGGATCTCATCCCAGACCCAAGGGTGGAAGCATGCCCGTTCTCCCCTGATCCTGATGTAGCTGCTCATAAGGGTGGGGCAGGCCTGGGCCTGTCTGCAGCAGATTACAGGAATGCAAGGCCACCCCACTGGAACTCCTGCACTCTTCCTCCAGCAGACACAGCCTGAGGGTGGCAGAATCTGGGCTGGGGTGCTGACCCAGGTAAAGCAGCCTGAGGGGAGGAGGCACCCCTGAAGCCCATGCAGCAGCTTCTGGTTGGCAGCCACCCTTTGAGGAAATGACACAAGTGTGACAGATGGAGTCCAGTGAGGTCCAGTGGTTTACACTGGAATGTGATGCCTTTACTGATCTCTAGCAGGACTTTCCCAGTGGGGTAAACTGCACCGGTTCAGGGGCCCTCAGGGCCTCCAGGAAAAAGGAACTTGCCTCCACATGCAAAGATTTCCCAACTGCCTATAGATGAAACCCAGAGGTGCCAGTTTCACACCCACATAGGCTGCATCATGATCCACACTAGCCAAAGGCAGAAGCAACCCAGCATGCATCAACAGGCAGATGGACAGGGGCTGGAGAGACAGCTCGGGGGTTAAGAGCACTGGCTGCTCCTACAAATGACCGGGGTTCAGTTCCCAGCACTCTCATGGCAGCTAACAACCATCCATAATTCCAGGTCCAGGGGTTCCAATGCTTTTTTGGCCTCTAAAGGCACTGCACACACAGGTGTACTTACATACCTATAGGCAAAACATTCATACCATTCATACACATTTAAAAAAAACAAAATAGGGGACTGAAGAGATGAGTCAGCAGTTAAGAGCACTGACTGCTCTTGCAGAGGACCTGGGTTCAGATCCCAGCACCCTCATGGCAGCTAACCATCATCCATAACACCAGTTCCAGGGGATCCGATGCCTTCTTCTGACCTCTGCGGATATTGCACAACATGGGTACATTTACTCACTTGCAGGTAATACACTCATACACATTAAAAAATATTGAAACATAAAAAACCCAGGCAGATCACCAGATGAGTGAAGTGGGGCCCATCCCTTCTATGACTGAGCCCCAGGAGTTTGAGGCCAACCTGAACAGCATAGCAAGACCAGGCCCTGTCTCCCTGACAGAAAGGAGTATTTGGGGTTGGCTTTTTTCCACTCTTCGATGCAGGTACTCTCACACAGGAAGCAAGAGCTCCAGCTCTGAACTCCATCCGGGTTCCAAACAATGGAGTATTATCTACTCTTGGAAAGGAAGGAAATCCTGATACGTGCCACAACATTGTAGGCAAAATCCTAAAGACATTGTACTGAAGGAAATAAACTATTATGTGATACTCACTTACATGTGACAGCTAAAGGAATTCAATTCATCCACAGAAAGTAGAGTGATGGGTGCAAAGGGGTGAGGGTAGGCAGTGAGTTAATATTTGACGGGGACAGAGTTTGTTTTGCGAGATGACAAAGTTCTGGGATGGTGGTATGATCTTTGCACACAATGCAATCTGCTTAAGACACTGTATTACACAATTAAAAACAGCAAAGATGCCGGGCGTGGCAGCATGTCTTTAATCCCAGCCCTTGGAAGGCAGATTTTTTATCAAAACTGGGAGACTGCCAGGCATGGTGGCACACACCTTTAATCTCAACACTCAGAAGGCAGAGGCAGGCAGATCTCTGTGAGTTCAAGGCCAGCCTGGCCTTCATAGCAAGTTCCAGGCCAGCTGGGGGCTACAGTGAAACCCAGTCTCAAAAGACCAAACAAAACTGGGAGGTCATGGGGAAGAACCCACGCTGACATGGAAAAGCACACAGATCCCTTTATGGCACATGTAGTTGCTGGTTCTGGAACATCTCTCACTGGGAAAATGTGCATACCACCACCAGCAGCTGTGATGACAAGCAAGGGAGCTCTGCGAAAGCATCGACGTAAAGCAGCTCAGCCTCACGTCTGACCTACTCTGGAGATCTCCTTTGATGCAGTTCTGACACCTCACTGCTTTCCTCCTAAGTGGACATAACACTCAGCAGATGTTCTTTCTTTCTAAAAGAAGTTTTGGGGGTGGGCAGGTCCACTTGGCCAGGCAGGTTTGTGTGGAGACTAAAGGTGGCATTGTTTTTGTGTAGCCGTCTCTACCATTTTTTTTTTTTTTTTGTCTTTTTGAGACAGGGTCTCCCCTGTAGCCCCAGCTGTCCTGGAACTCACTATGTAGACCAGGCTGGTCTTGAACTCACAGAGATCCGCCTGCCTCTGCCTCCCAAGTACTGGGACTAAAGGCTTGTGCCACCACACCTGGATTAAATCCCTCTCCACCATTTTTGAGCTAGAGTCTCTCACCATTTAAACTAGACTAGCTGGCCGTCAAGCCCCGGAGATCTGCTCCCCACCAATGCCTACCCTGCACTGAGGTTACAGGTACAACTACCACACCTAGCTTTTGTATGTGGGTATTGGGGACCCAAATTCAAGTCCTCACATTTGCACAAGCACTTAATCCACTGAGCCTTCTACCCAGTCCCCATATGCTCAGTTTCAAAAACAAGCTGCTCATGTAGCCACTAGCAACGGTCTGTAACTCCAGTTTCAAAGTAACTGATGCCATCTTCTGGCCTATGTGGGCACTGCATGCACGTGGTGCACTTACATGCAGGCAAACATACATATAAGATAAAAACAAAGTATTTTTTAAAGCCAAAGGTGTAGTGGAATGATATTCCCCCACCACGCATGGCTGTTTCTATCTTGAAATCAGAGCAATTGTGATTTCAGGTATGAGACCTCATGAAGTCAGGCCTATTAAACATTCCCTGATGAGAGAGAGTTCATGAGGCAATTTAGCCATACAAGGCCCCTCCCCTAATGGCTGCTGGAGGAGGAAGACTTCTTTGGTGGTATAGCCACCTGTAAGTTGTCCATGTTCCTGTAACCAACTCTAATTAAACTCACTGGTTCACCAAGCTAGTCTTGGGTGGAATAGTTTTTTTCATCAGTCACTGGTGCTTCACCTGGGGTGAAGAGAAGTTTGTTCATCCATGGGGCTGGAGAGGTATTTCAGCAGTTAAGAGCACTGGCTGCTCTTGCCGAGGACCCAAGTTCAATTCCCAGCACCCACACGGCAGCTGACAACCAACTGTAATTCCAGTTCCAGGGGAATTCAACGCCCTCTTCTGACTTCCTTGGGCATTGCATGACATGGACGCACTTACATACATGCAGGCAATAGACTCATACACATAAAAATAATAAATAGGGGCTGGAGAGATGGCTCAGTGGTTAAGAACACTAGTTGTTCTTGAAAAAGACCTGGGTTTGAATCCTAGCACCCACATGGCAGCTAACAACTATCCGTAACTCCAGTCCTAGGAGATCCGACAGCCTCTTCTGACCTCCGCGGGCATTACACGACACAGACACACTCACCTACATGCATACACATAAAATAAAAATAATAGGCCAGGCGTGGTGGCACATGCCTTTAATCCCAGCACTCAGGAGGCAGAGGCAGGCAGATCTCTGTGATCTGTGAGTTCAAGGCCAGCCTGGTCTACATAGTGAGTTCCAGGACAGCTGGGGCTACAGGGAGACCCTGTCTAAAAAGACCAATAATAATAATAATAAAATAAATAATAAATAAAATAATAAAAAGCTTATCTCCCTAGGAAAAGCTAATGCAAGAAAAGCTGTTAAATAAAATAATATTCTTCTTTTAAATAGTTTGACATTTTTACTTAAATAGGGCTTTGGTGTGACTCACCATATCTATAAAGACAATTCCTTAAAATATATCTTGAAGAATTCATTATTAATTCACAAAAACACCATCTCCTTGGGGTATTAAAAAGGGAGGTAGAAAAACACGGCCAGAAAGAGGGAGTTCACCTTGTTCTGGGTCCGTGAGAGTTGGAGAATCCAGACAGAGCCCAAGAAGCGCCAGGCACCTCCCTACCCAGGACACATTAGTAGTGCTAAGGGATCCACAGGAAGGGAACCAGGGGATGTGGGGTCTTCAGAGGCAGCCAAGAGCCTCTAGCTCACAACACACCTGTCCGTATGGGGTGGCAGCCTGGCTTTTGGGGTGAAGCAGAAACCAAGGACTGTCTAGTGCTGTGGCTCTCCTGGGGACATGGGTCAATGTTTACAGGCATCTTTGGTTGTCATGACCAAAGAGGCAGGAAGATACCACTGGCATGGAGTGGGTGAGGGTCATAGCTGTTCCTGGGTATCTTCCAACACACAGTATACCCTCTACACAGAGAACACCCATCAGAGACACAAACCCATGTGGACTGGGGCTGGGGGGACACCCACCAGCACTGCAGCTTCCATAATAGCAGGCAGGTGTTCCCACAAGCAGCCGAGGAGGGCAGGATTGTCCCCATGGACATTAGGGGCCACTGAGTCTCAGAGGGGCCAGGACCTTAGTCCTGACACAGTCTGTGTGGATTCAGGCATCTGTTCCCAGTCTTTGGATTCCTCAGGAGACCATGGTCTCTGTTCTCTGCTCACATAACCAAAGTGAAAATTCATTGAGTGTCACAAATGGAGTTTGTTGTTCCCAGAGGCTGCTGATATCAGGGTCTTGGGTGAGATTGGCAGGTCAGGGAGCTAGAGGTCTTCACGGGTAGAGATCAAGTCTACCCTCTGGGCTTGCCCAAACATCAGGAAGGTACCCAGTCCCATGTTGCTGATGATAGCCACCAGGTTGAACACACATGTCCAGGAGCCAGTAGCCTCAATCAGGTAGCCACATAGACACACACCTACCACACCTGGACTCAAGAGAGGCAGAAACTGAGTGAGGCTCCAGGGCAGCTGATACCAGTGAGTTCCTGGGGCAGAGCAGGCTGGAATACAGATGCCCTGAATATCCTGGGGTAAATTCAGATGTCTGAGCTGCCGGGCTATGGGAGGCTCAGACTCAGAGGGTCTCAGAGGACAGAAACCTCTCAAGCCACTGTAAATCACATGCTGATAGGGACCCCACCCCATGTCCTGTCCAAGGGAAGAAAAGCAAGACATGGAGAATGAGCCTCTGTCATCAGCCCAGGCACTCGGGGGGTGGGGGTGGGGGGAGGCATTCTAATTTATAGGGCTGACTCACACTTGAAAGGCAGTCAGGGAAGAGTGGCTTGTGAGTCACCCACCATCAGCCCAGTCTGGTGGCCCCTCAGCTACCATCTCTGTGCATCCCCTGAGTCAACGTGGAGTTTGTACCCTCCCCCGGAACCCAGCAACACTAGATGAATGAGATGGGATGAATCCTATTTACCACCCCTAAGCCCACTGTTGACCCACACCAAAGAGCAGGAGAGCCCCTAGGCCTGGAGCCATCCCTCACCTGCCAAGGCCCCTGCAGTGTTGGCCACACCTACGAAAAGTCCAGAAAGAAAAAGGAGGGACAATATGAGAAGACCCACTGTGGCTCCCATAGTCCACCCACCTGGAAATGACCCCATTGGTCAGGAGAGGGGATGAGACGCAGGTGAGTAGACTGCCTTACCAAACAGAAAGCCAGCGCAGGACGGGGCCAGGTCCTGGATATTAACTGAAATGCCACTGTGGGAAACAGGAAAGAAGGCAGGTGAGTGGCCACAGGTCTAGACACCTCCACTCAGCCTGAAAGAGCTACTGGAGCAAGGGAAAGGGTGGTCTGCTGGTGACACTCACCCCACACTTAAGCTCTTCTATCCTCTGGCTACTCCCGAGAATGGACACATGGGGGGGAAGCACACTTACTGGTGGGCTCGAATGCACATTTGCTGCATCAATTTGGACTGGATTCCTAATGCACTCCCTGGAATGCCCCGATGCAACTGTTATCACTCAGAATCAGAGAAAAAAAGCAGAAAACTGCAGAGGGCTGTCAAGCCTGGTGTTGGTGCTCACTTCCCTTCCTATGCTTTCCCCCTGTGTGGGAAAAGGGTCATTTTCTTGAATGACCCTACCTGGATACTCACATCAGTTGGACTGAGTGACAGCTTATGGGGAGCCCTTCTTGACCCACCTTCATAGGTCCCCTAAACCAATGTGCACAAAAACATGGGTATTGTCTGTCAGCCTGGGCAGCCTTTTTGATGGGGCAGTGGGCCCTTACCTGTGGTTGAAGGTCTGGAGGCCAATGGAGGCTGACGCAAAGACCATGGCCTTGAGGAAGCTGGTGGTGTGACCCAGACATAGGGCAAAAACACTTGACAGGCCAAGACCCATCACCTGCAGGATAGGACTGGTGAGGGGCCAGGAGCCGTGCTAGCCCCACCCAGAGGACCCCCAGGTATGCTGAACAAGATCACAAAGGTCCAACCTAAAAACTCTTCTCAGTCTGGGGCCTCCCCACTCTAGGTGTCCTGGTCCAGAGGGGCACCGAGGCCACATTGAAAACTCGGAGAAGGGTCTCAGGTCAGGCGATACTGACCTCAGAGTGCCCTCCAGTGGCCACCTGCAGCAGCTACTTTCCAGTTCCTGTTGCTGTGGGTTGACCTCTGCTGGCTTTGATAATTCTACAGGCTTGGGAAGCTGGGTTCTATCTGCCCACATTGGGAGCAGGGGCCAGCTTTGAGGCCATGAGACCTGATAGCTGCAACTTTCCCAGCCTACATCCTTGACCTTGGCCTGGTCCCAGAAATCGGGGAATTTGGGTACATAACCTTCAGGTCCCAGGAGACCAGGGCAAAGTAGGGTCCCATACAGGGATTCTAATGATTTTCCTACCTGCATGAACTTCCGCACTGTGATGGCTCTGTAACCTGAACAGGGAGACAGACCCAGAATGCTGAACCCTAAGGGTGTCCTGTGTCCTCAGAAGGGTCCCACCCACACAGCCACAGAAGAAGATGGGAGAGGAGGAATGGGGCTGCAAGTGTGTCCCCTCTGGAGCTCTGGAAGGTTCAAGAGCAAATCTGGGTGCCTGAGTCCTTTGACCTCACTAGGTGCCTTCCCTTCCCCATAGAGGGGCAGGGGCTATGTCCAGCATCCCCTCCCTCCCCACTCCACCATCACCCACCATGAACTCCACAGTTACCATGAGCCCAGGGTCCTCTTGCTACTCCCAACCCTACCCACTCAAAGGGGAGGCCAAGGAAGACAGGCCTGATTGGAGGTCCCTTCAGCCCCTCACTGCATCCATTCCTCAGGCTGGCTCTGAAGGACATTTCTCTGTCACAGGATGGTCCAAGAGCAGTGTGACCTTTCCCCAGTGCTGCAGTTGCACTGCCAAAGGGGAGTGAGGTCCTGAGGGTGTCATCCCCCAAGGACTATTTTCCCCAACACTCACCCTGACTGATGAGGTGGTCAGAGAGAAAGCCACTGAATAGACTGGCAGGAATTGCCACCAGCCAGGGCACCACATTGAAGACCCAACCCTGCAGGGAGAAGTATAGCCTCAAAGGTGGGCAGGGTGGTACCTGAGAGCCTCTGAAAGGACACTCAGGCAGGAGGACCACCCTAGGCCCAGTGTCATTGGAACTCTGTTTACCCACAGGGTGGGCCCGAGGGCAGAGGGCCCTAGAGGACAGGTCCTACCCAGACCATCACCATCCTATCTGGACAAATACCAAGCTTGCTAATGGCTCACCCCTGCAGCCAAGTTCCCCACACTGCTCCCCTCATTGTGGCAGGGCCAGAGCTGGGCCACTCTGCCTAGGAATGTGTAACAAAAGGACTCTGGTGCCTACAGGTCTCCCTTGGGCGTGGCATCAACAGTTTGACTAGCCAGCCCTGAGAGAGGGGCTCTGCTGGGCAGCAGGTCAAGGTCTTGGGCTAAAGAAGTTGTAGCACCAACAGTGCACAGCTCTCACTGACTTGAACCAATGTCTGCTCCCAAATGGACAGTCATCTCAAGGCCTGAGGTCCACAGGGTGATGGGGTTACCACTGAACCAAGGGTGCTACCACCTACGTATGGGAACTACAGGGTCCATCACAGCTCAAGCCTGGCACAGGGTTAGGAGGCCACGAAGATTTATAGGTCTTCTCACCCGGTGAAGGCCCAAGCCACATGACCCACCTTGGCGTCGGGGAAGGTCTCCCTGAAGAAGGTAGGCAGCCAGGAGAGGAGGATGAAGAAGGAGCAAGCAGAGGACAGTTGGGCACAGATGGCCGCCCTGTGTGGGGCACCAGGCTCAGGGCTCCACCCAGCAGCCAGTCCCCTCCCCATACTGGTCCTGCCTAAGACCCAATCCTTCCCCCTGGACAACAAGGTCTTACCCATCTGAGACATGGGCCATTTGCTGGAGTGTCAGGACTGTGACCCTGCTAGGTACAACCAGGTCTACCCAAAAGTGACTGCCCTGCCCCATGCCCTATCTTTACCCCATGTACACTCTGCCTGACCATGCCAGCCCTAGCTCACCAGACGGAGGGCTTCCGGAAGAGCTGTCTCCAGCGCACTTTGGAGGGCCTGGCCACAGGCAGGCCTTGTGCCAGGGTGCCCAGAGCCAGGACAAGGTCTATGAGAACAAATGGTATCAGTTGTCAGACCAGGTACCCCATATCTGTCCCTAACATAGCAGCCTTTTAGGAGCCACTGGAGGGGCGTGGTCAGGGTATATCTCACCACCCCTTCTAGGGAGTGCCTAGTGGGTAGCATCATCCCTAAGAGTATTCAATCAATTCTAACCAGCTGCCTTCATGTGCTGGACTCCCTGTGTCTTCCTTAGCCTCAATAGAACAGTATGAGAATCCAAGGCTGGGGCAGACTTAGGGCTCAGCACCTGAGTTTTCAGAGCTGGTCAAAGCTGCAGCCCCAGGCCCTGATGGGCTGGCACAGCTGCATGGGTGCTATGGTGGAACACAATCTTCATGTAGAACAGCCACTGCCATCTTCACTAGAGCAGCTCTGACTACCCACAAGCTATCCTCAAAACCTGGCCTACTGGTACATGCTTTATTCCAGCACTCAGGAGATAGAGGCAGACAGATCCTGTGAGTTTGAGGCCAGCCTGGTCTACATAGCAAGTTCCAGGTTAGCCAAGGCTACATAGTGAGATCCTGTCTCAGAAAACAAAACAAAAAATAAACAGAAAACAAGATCCAGCTAACTGGAATTCCCTCACAAGAGGCATTGAGGAGGCTTATTAGACCCTCACCTGAGATTCCAGTCACTCCCTCCGATTTCCCTCTCCCAGCTGTATCTAATTCTACCCCAGCTGCAAGTGATCTCAGGAGGTTAGCTGAGTAGAAGGCTTCATCTATGCAGCTGTGGGGAAATCATCGCCCATGCTGGGGTACAATTGTTTTGAGGTTCCCCTTGCTCCTAAGCAAGCCCAATAAACTCACTGGTTCACTAAGCTAATCTTGAATGGAGTCATTTCTTTGGTCTGTTGGTGCCTAGTCTGGGCTAAGTAGATGTTTGTTCATGTTTGGGAAGGAGACACAGGGACTGGCCCACAGAGCTGCAGTTACCTTTTTCATCCAGCAGGTACTTGTACACGTAGAACACCCAGAGCAAGGTGAGGCCACCGGAGAAGTAGAAGACGCTCTGCCAGCCACACCAGTCCAGGAGCACTGAACCCACACCCCCAGTCACCAGCGTCCTGACAGACACAGAGGAGTTGCTGCCATGACCTCAACTGCTATACACAGATGAGTCAAGCCCTTGGGGAAAGCAGCTGCTCAGATGCCCCAGCCCCATGTGTCTTGCTCTTCAGGGAGGCTCAGGGGCCACAGGACAAGGGAATTTGGGAGCAGCTGAGGAGACTCAGCACAGGGACTGCTGCCGAGTTTTCAGATTCTTCCTTCTAGACCTTCAAATTGGACAATTTGTCATTTGGATGCTTGACCAAAAGAGAATGACAAAAGGTAACAGGAAACACTAAACATGGCCTCCCTCCCCTT